TATCATGCAAAATGCACTTTCTGATGTCTTCTCTACATAAAGATGTGTCCCCGGTGAGTCGGGGAACTCACGCAGCGTCAGAAAATAAAACCCTCTCTCTTTTCCTCCGTACCCAAATCTCTAAAAACGGGGGAACAACGGAGCTGATCCAGATTTGCGTCCGATATGACGCAATATCTGAAATGTGGACCCACGGCCCTATCAGAAAGTTGCTATCAGAAACAATGCCCGACTGTTTTGGACGTAATATGGTCGGTGTTTACATTAGCATCGCTAACACTCAGAGCTAACCTGTACTGGAGAGCATGTGTGTGAAGAAGCAGGAAATAAAAAGGAACTCAGCTTGTGGTATAACCGGCAAGAGAGAAAGCCTCTGAGCTCCATACTGTTTCAGAAAGAATCCTTGATAATCCATGATATGGCGTTTCATCACGGCAGTATTTAGTTTAGACGGTAGCTGCCGGGTCTCGCATGAGCTCAGACCCCTCCATAATTTTTTTTTTTAAAGCTTTATACCCAAAATCAGCACTTTTGAAACAGGAAGTGAAATAGAGGGATATGAGGCATGGCTAGAATGGGTGATCTGTTTGGTATTTTGAGAAAAACACTTCATAGACATGTTTTTTATATATTTCTATATATCTGAGACCCATGCTATTGCCTAAAAATAGCATGATAGGTGACCTTTAATATATTTGTAGGGCTATTGTGCATATTGAGTACATTTAGCTGATCATACTTTTGTATTTCTACTTAAATGACATTTTGATTCAGGTTTTTTACTTTTTAATTGAGTCTTTTAGGACCAATGTAATTTTACTTTTTCTAAATTAAAGTATTATTTCTGTCATCTCTGCAACATATAATATACTCACATGTACACTGCAGAAAAGAAACTTGCAGGCAGTAATAAACTCAGGTTTCATATTCGCTAAAATCAATAACCCTGTAAATAGGACTATTGATCAATTTCAAACTCATAAATAATTTAAAAGTGAATCATTACGTTCACCCTGCTGAGACAATTAGGCATAAATTAATATTTAACCAGGAATCAATAAAATAATCCTGAACAAACGCTCGATGGACCTGCTCAACCGCAAATAAGAAAAACTCAATTACAGCACGTGAAGCTGTCGGGGGAGTGTGTGAAATGAGTAAAAGCAGAAGAGTGTGTGAGCAAAGAAAATACTTCTACGAATGTTGGTTGAATATAATAATGAAACTTGTGTTTTTCTTCAGTTTGCATTGTTTTTTTCCTTCTTTCCACAAGAAATATTATCAATATTATTTGGTTTATATACACATGACCCATTTGTACATGTTGTGTTTTTCCCAGATTAAATATATCAGGCTTTTAATCTCAGGCCAACGTCTGTTTTTCTATTTTTTTAACCAGACTTTAAGGCTTTTTCTCAATGTTATTTCTAATCATGATATCATCCTAGACTAGCTGTCAGGGGAGTGTATGCAAAGACAGACTTAAATATAAAAATGATCATTGTTTTTTTTCTCTACTTTTCTATTTGTTGAGCAACTTCCACAAAAACATTATCCATATTAGTTTAGTTTATTTGCACAGAAATACCCTTTATATTTACTTTATACAAAATAAAAAGTTGTATTGCTTTAAAGGTCACCTATTATGCAAAATCCACTTCTTCATGTCTCTTCTACATCAACATGTGTCCTCTCTTCTCCATGTCTCTTCTACATCAACATGTGTCCCCTCTTCTCCATGTCTCTTCTACATCAACATGTGTCCCCTCTTCTCCATGTCTCTTCTACATCAACATGTGTCCCCTCTTCTCCATGTCTCTTCTACATCAACATGTGTCCTCTCTTCTTCATGTCTCTTCTACATCAACATGTGTCCCCTCTTCTCCATGTCTCTTCTACATCAACATGTGTCCCCTCTTCTTCATGTCTCTTCTACATCAACATGTGTCCCCTCTTCTCCATGTCTCTTCTACATCAACATGTGTCCCCTCTTCTTCATGTCTCTTCTACATCAACATGTGTCCTCTCTTCTTCATGTCTCTTCCACATCAACATGTGTCCCCTCTGTGCAAAGACATCCTGAAAGTTTCAGGAAAAAAGCTTCTCTCTCTTTTTGTCCTGATCCATTTATATAAAAACCTGTCTGAAAATGAGCTGATCAGATTTTGGCCACTTTATGATGTCATAACGATGTGTTGGCTTGTGTAACCATTAGCCAATCAGCAACCAAGGTAACCCCCCCCCCCCCTACTTACACCACGAATCTCCTCCTAGAGCTCCATTGAGTTTTTTGTAACCAAATCTCTCTCAGAGGGGCGTGGGGAGGGGCTCCTTATTTTCATCTAAAGTAACAAGACAGAGAATCAGCACTTTGGAAACAGGGCTGAAACAGAGGGCATTATGGGTAATGCTGCAATGATCCGTTTGGTGTTTCAGCCAATCAGAGACAGGCTCTGTGTATATCTGAGACCTATAATATATTGATGAAAAACAGTATGATAGGGGACCTTTAAAATATTCAGCTCATTTTGAACTAATGCACCAGTTTGTATCTTCATGGTTTATTGCACTTTTTCTAAGTCCCTTTGGATAGACGCTAAATGAATGTAATGTTATATTCACAATGCTTTTGTGTCTGCTGTGTTTTTACCCAGAGTGCTTAGCCTGCTGCGGTGTTTGCCGTCGTACAGGAGGCTCGGAGGCGTGGGAGGGACGGGGGTCGCGCTCGCGGCGAACCGGGCCAGCAGACCCAGCCCGCTCAAATCCTCGTAGTCCTCTTCGTCCTCCGAGGATTCTGTTTCAGAGAAAAGACTGTTAGCTTTTCAGGGATGAACGTGTCTGCAGCAGCACAGGGGTCAAAGGTCAAATCACTTCCTACTGACACAAAGTCTGCACCACTGAGGAGATGAAATAACGGAAGATAAATTATCGACCTATATCCTTTCTAAAGTAAATTTAAAAAACTGATTTAAGCCCCGTGTAGAAGGACACACACACTAATCAAAGAAATGAGTGAAGAGAAAGGACAACGACTGTCCAATCCACCGCCTGCATTCACCACGTAATGCTGTGTAAGCAAGGTACAGAAACGCTCATTTACCACATACATGCATTAGCCACGCTCTCACACACACACACACAGCTGCTGAGACCCTGTGAGCTGACTCAGGTCTCATTTATTATTTAAACGAAACCCCTCAGAGAAAGTGACAGAGAGAAAAGCTGCTTCCTTCGTCCTTTTATGTCTAACAGGCCAGAAGAGCACACAAAAAGGCAGAGGCACACACACAGACAACACACACATGTAGATGCATTTATACACTGAAGCACTGGTTAGCTGTTGCAGGAGTTAGGAGTTAGCAGTTAGCTCGATAGCAGCAGGAGGAGCGTCTCCTCAAGGGTTAAAGGGTGTTAACATTGTGGGTGGATGCACAGTACAACAACATATGTTTTATTTATTATATTAAAGCATATAATTGCTTTCATAGGATTAGCAATATTGTGTGTTTACAAAGGTTTTTAATAAAAGGTTACACCAGGTACAGTCCGTGTTTTGCTGCCCTCTCTGGTGAGAAGTTAGCGAAGTGTACAGAAGTGAGTAGTGATATCTGTGAGTCTTCGCTCCAAAAATTACATTCACATATATTGAATCTAAATTGTAAAATATTGATTTCAGAAGAAGGTATTTTATCCCGAATTAAAAAAAGTAAAAAAGGTAAACAGAGGACTTTATTTCGTGAATGTTATTTGTGTCCCGTTTGAAACCAAAATCTGTTTTGTATGCAATTCTGTATGCGGCTCAAGTTATATAACAAATGTACTTATTTTAAGTCAAATCATAGATTTTTACTGACTTTATAAAAAAAATGTCTTGGCTTTTTGTTTTGTTTCAACCCATTACGTTAGCCATGTGTATAAAACAGAAAGAAAAAAAAATGTCTCTCTAAAACTAGTTAAAGCTGTTTAATTATATGTGAATGTCATTTTAAGGAGACCGGTGTCCTCTTTAACCAAAACAATACTTATTTAAGTAAATCAATTGTTTCATTTGTTGATGATCCAGACCAGAATATAAAATAAAATAATTTCAAACTCTCGGGTGAAACTTCGGAGCTACATCTGAAGTGTTTGTTGTACTGTCGATCCACGATGTGTTAACAGAAGCAGGCAGACAAAACAAAACAGGCAGGCACTGAGAGGACAGCCCTGTGAGGCCCCTTGGTATGATGATGTAGTTTACGAGTTACCATGGTTACATCCTCTTTTACATCTTCCCGTAAACTTTTACATAAGAAGAAAAACCGTTGGTAAAGTGGAAGTAACCATGGCTCCCATTAAAAAAGTTTTAATTTGTGAGAACAAAAAATAAATGTAATTTTAGCGTGGTCCATGTTAGCGGTGGATGAGGAATAGAGGGAGGGGACCGTCCTACTTACAGAGCAGGTGACAGGGGTGTGGCCTCAGGCAGGGGCGGGGCAGCGGCCAGAGCGCAGCCTAGCCGTAGCTCAGCCTAGCATTAGCATTAGCTTTAGCCGCAGCGAAGTAGCATAGGCTCACGGCTGCGCTAGTCCTTGCCAAGCTTCTGTAATGTCGCAGCAGCACAAAGCACATGGAAACAGGCGGAGAGACACGCAAAGCATCATGGGTAAGGAAGGGGGGAGGGACAGGTGAGAGGACAGAGCAAGGGGTCGGAGAGAGCAACGTAAAGGGAGAAGGGTTATTTGAAGGTTTAGTAGACAGAGGAGGGGCTCTATTATCCAAATATCCCCAGCGTGTTATTTGATTGGTGCTGTCAAGAAGTTTAGAATGAGTAGATTTTATTTCCCACACAACATTGAGAAAATAGACCACATTGTTAAAAAAAAACAAAAAAAACACTTAATCTGATGTAAATTTACCTGAAAAATCCACAACAATTATTTTTAAAATCTATAAATTTAGTTTTAAAAAAATATCCACAAAAAACTGCTTTAAAATTCCATTAATTTACCTTAAAAATCCACAAAAATTTTACTTTTTTTTTGACCATGTAAACTAACCAGGAAATAAATACCCGTCCCCTCAGATTCAGCTGCTGTGAAATAAGTCTTCTACATTTTTAATTTTTTGGATTCCAGGACTGAAGGGATATTTGAGGAACAGAGCAGTGTACAGGATGTGAGCTGCACACTGACGGAGACAGACAGACAGATGAAGCAGACACAAGGACCACAGCGCTTCGCTTTCTGTGCCAATCAGATCAACACCTTTAATAAAGCTTATAGGTACCAAAACTGCAATACAACTTTTTCTCACAATTCACACAATTTTTCAATATACAAAATGCTACAAAAAAACTGGTTTTGCAATCCAGGCAATGTAAAAAAACAACAAAAACAACACCATAGAAATACTCTTTAAAAAAAACAAAAGGCAACAGCAGCAAGAGAGGTAGAGATGGTCGAGCTAAAGCACAGTCGAGACGCGAACAGAGACACAAGCTGCGTTTCTGATAAGATTGGCTCAGTAACCTTGGTCGAAGGAGTCGTCGGAGGAGCTGAGGCCGGCCTCCTCCAGCAGCAGAGATAAGTGCTTGTGTTTCTTCTTCTGGGATTTCAGGCCGGACGGCGGGGGTGACGTCGGCCTCTTCCTGGTCGGGTTTTCGTGGGAGCGCATCCCTGAGAGAGAGGGCCAGCCCCCTCGAGCAGAAGAAGTGAGATCCTCTGAGTCTGAGTCTGGTGCAGAGAGAGGACGGTTAATGAATCATGCAAACACACTTCGACACCATCAGGAATGGGTTCTATTATGGTCAATTATTCAGGGGTTAAACAGCTTTTTAAGAATAAAAAAACTCAAGCATTTCAAGGTATCAATAATGTCCAGATTCTCAAAGCCTTACGTTAAATGAAATTGTGAAAGATTTACTTTACAGAAATCCTAAAGCAATCGATTTATATTGTATAACTAATTTTACCAGCTGTTCCTATGAACTATAATAGCATGTTTTGATTGTGATTGTGATTATTAATTGCTCAGCTATCTCCAGTTCGCTCGACATCCGTTGTGAGACGCAAGAAACACCCAAAAATGTATCTAAAAGGCGGGACTGTGAAATTTAAAATATTTAAGACTGTTTGGATAAGTTATTATGTAGATCAAACAGCAGATTATGTTGAAAATCCAACATTTTCCAACAACCATTAACCGTATCTCTGCCAGCATTGGTCTTAATAAGCAGTTATTTCAGATCTCTGGTCTCCAGGTACTCACTGTTGGAGCAGCTGCTGAGCTCTGATCTCACGTGAGAGAACAAAGTCGTCGTCGTCGTCTCCTTCTGACCTTTCACTTTCAGGGCGCTGTCCGAAGAGGAAACCTTGGTGGCCATGTTGTGTTTCCCAGCCTTAGCGGACGGGTGGACGCTGCGCTCCTTCATCCGACTTTCCCCAGACTTGAGCTTCGACTTGTCTGATTTGGAGCTGAGTTTATGAGAAGCTGCGAGTGATCCGAGCTGCGAGAGCGACAGAGCTCTGTCCAGATCTGAGGCCAGCTGCTCCTGCTCGCACACGTGGCCACGCTTCGACTTCAACACCTGACAAATAACACAAAAACACACTTAGTAAATTAAATCTGAAACATGGAGCAACACTGCGGACAAAAATAAAACACACTGTGAGGTCAAAAGTCAATATAAAAGATAGTAACAAAAATAATAATAATTTTTAATGTATTATTTGTTTCGACTTTTTAATCCCAGAAACCTGAGTTTAAAAAAAAATGTAGTAATGTATTTAATAATGTTCTTTTTAAAAGGGCTGTCTTAAATAGATTTAGAGATTTGAAATATGATAACTGATATTTCAGAAATGTTGAATGGGTTATTTCTTTGACAAATTAAATTACATGAAAATGTTAATAATGGCTGTGGCTATCACTTTTCCCTGAAAATCAACAAATTGACCCGTCTACAAAAGTCAAAAACTGTCTATAAGACTTAAAGGTGGGGTAGGTAAGAATGGAGAAACCAGCTCGAGTGCGCTAGAATTTGAAAATACAAAGCCGAAAAAAATCTGCCCCTTCCTTACAGAGCCCCTCCTCCAACACACACGAACGCGCACATGACCAATGAGGGCACGAGATAAGTTTGTGCACAGATGGAAGGCTGACAGGCAGGTAGGCCATCCAGTTACTTTAGCCGGGCCGGCTCAGATGATTGGTCGTGCTTTTTACAGCGCCACGGCTTCACCAGATGAGATATTTTAATGTATTTATGGTCAAAGCATTTAATTTATTCATTGCTATCGGGATGTTAAGAGCATTCCATGGAATATAACAAAAAGTGTTTCTGAAGTGAATTACCTACGCCACCTTTAAGTAAAGACAAGTTAAAAGTAATTAAGTTATGCGATTATTCCTCTGTTGTCACGCAGACTTTCATATTTCAGGATAACATTGAGCGAAATCCTAAAAAAGAACTCGACAGCGTCTTACCTCCAGAGCGTGACTGGTGGACGGCTCCTGGTCGTTCCAGCTCTTCTTCTTCTTTTTCTTCTTCTTCTTCATCTTCACTCCTCCGATCGCTGCCTCTGCCTCCTCTTCTTCTTCTCTGGAGACCCTGAACCTTTTCCTCTGTCCCTCCCCGGCTTCAGAGTCCTCGGAGTATTGCACTGTCCTACCCACCCTGAAACACCCAGAGAGTTGTTTTTACAGGGAAACAACAAACAGACAGAAAAAAACAAACATGCAAATAAAGATGGAGGTGTGACTCACTTTCCAGGCCTGCTGTCCAGTTTGGTCGGTGTCGTTAAATGTTTCCTCTTACGGGGTCGCCCTCTGCCCCGTCGGGTCAGACTCCGCCTCTCGTCCTCGTGCTGCTGCCGCTCACTGAAACATACATTAAAGAGGATATAAGTGTGTGTTTGTCTGGGGTGTAGAACTTAGTGTGTGAGTATCAATATAAACTGCACATTTAGATTCCTAAAATGTCAGAAATGGATTCAGCATCCTCAAAACCACTCCAAAGTTGTCCAAATCGGCAAAAGCCTTTTCTTAAAACCATTGTCTGCATAGGCTATATCGCTAATTAATGCAAATTAACACAACTTATGATAAATGTGCAAATTGCCCAACATGTGCAAGTTAGCATCCGGCAGTTTCTAATTGCTGGGGACCCCTACTTAACATTTCTAACATAACACTTTGGTGTACTGTATTAGAAATGTTAAAATTAGATCGACAGAAATGTCCTTTTATTGAGTTTTGCTTATTCAAGTGTATTAAACATGATAGAGTCCTTCTTTCCCACATAACACAATGATATGTTTTAATTTACAACTTACTGTTCAACTGTTACATTTTAGCTAACTGTTTCAACTGTCAACTAACTGTTTCAACTGTCAACTTTTAGCTAACCGTTTCAACTGTCAACTAACTGTTTCTACTGTTAATTTTAGCTAACTGTTTCAACTGTTACTTTTTGCAAAAAAGTATTAATAATTGTATTATTATAATGATAACTGCATTGCACTGAGTAAATAACCTGTCTCAACTGTCAACTTTTAGCTAACTGTTTCAACTGTTACTTTTAGCTAACTGTTTCAACTGTTACTTTTAGCTAACCATCTCAACTGTCAACTTTTAGCTAACTGTTTCAACTGTTACTTTTAGCTAACCTTCTTAACTGTTACTTTTAGCTAACCATCTCAACTGTCAACTTTTAGCTAACCGTCTTCAACTGTTACTTTTAGCTAACCATCTCAACTGTCAACTTTTAGCTAACCATCTCAACTGTTACTTTTAGCTAACCATCTCAACTGTTACAACTTTTAGCTAACCGTCTCAACTGTTACTTTTAGCTAACCTTCTCAACTGTTACTTTTAGCTAACCATCTCAACTGTTACTTTTAGCTAACCATCTCAACTGTCAACTTTTAGCTAACCGTTTCAACTGTTACTTTTAGCTAACCATCTCAACTGTCAACTTTTACTTTTAGCTAACCGTTTCAACTGTTACTTTTAGCTAACCGTTTCAACTGTTACTTTTAGCTAACCGTTTCAACTGTTACTTTTAGCTAACTGTTTCATAACACAATAATATGTTTTGATTTACAACTTACTGTGTGGCTCTGTATTATCAGATAGACAATTTCTGGACCTTTATTTATGAGATATTTCCACCTGAGTACTCGACATGTCTGCGTTCACAATAGGACTCTATGAGATGGAAAATAGACTAATAGCAGCAGTGTGGAATGAATTCATCTTGTGTGTGTTTTTGCGTCAGCTCACCGTTTGTCTCTGCGTCTCTGCAGCTTGGTCAGATCTCTCTGCTTCTCCTTGTAAGTCTTCTGCAGCTCGGCCAGGTGAACGCGATATTCCACCTCCACGGCATCCAGCACGTCCACAGACATTTTACTGTACAGCTGCACAGAGGAGAGAAAATGTATCAGTGCATGTTATACTTTATTCCATCTCTGGGCGTCCCAAGTCATTTTTTATTCATCTCACCGGCTCCTTCCTCTGCCTCCAGCTGTACTTCTTGTTGGGGTCCAGCGTTCTGGGTAGGTCGATGTGCGACTGCTTCTCGATCGCCTCCAACAGAATCTGCCGGCTTGCTTCAAGAAGGCCGTCCAGACCCTCTAATGTCAGATCTGAATGGGAGGCAGAGGATAATAAAACATTAGAGAATATAACAGAGTTGGAAAGACTATTAGAAAGGGCTGCATAACTCATTAAATATGATCAAAATCGAAATATAGGCGAGAGAAATATCCAGAATTGCAGCATCTGTAATGATCAGGAATCTGTGAAAATATTTGGATGAAGTATTGTGGTACACTTAAAAGTCTTGCTGATACTGATCCTCAAATGTTTAACACAATCCAATATCGCCAATCATATCGCATTTGCAAAACCAGTTTAAAAAAAACAATGATCAATCCTATAATATAGATATTGAGATAATAAAACATTAGAGAATATAGAATAGGGTGTCGTATTGTCATACTGATATTCTGTACAAACTGTGAAGTCCACTGAGACAAATGTAACATTTGTGATATTGGGCTATATAAATAAACACTAATTGATTGATTGATATTGCATCCGAAATATTGTGATATTTGATTTTCTCCATAAAGCCTGGCCCCAGTTTCCTTCATATTTCCTCACCTTGCTCCATGCTGATTTGCTCCATCTCCCTCTGAGCCATTTGGCTGAGCAGGGCCATCCCCTCCAGCGCCACCATCTCCAGAGCACCGGCACCGCTGCAATCCACACCCAACGAGTGGATTTCTATCTGCGGTAAGAGTGTTGGAGCGGGTGGAGTTCTTGGTCGAGCCTGGGCTATTTCACTGGCTGCCAGCAGGGCGAACATCCCCGCCATGGGATCCTCAGGGTCGACGGTCAGCGGGATCGGCGAGTTGGAAGCGGACGGATGATAAACGGGAGTTTCAGTGACACTTTCTTTCTGACTGGGAGTGTGTGAGTTGATGGGAGCGTGTGAGTTGATGGGAGCGTGTGAGTTGATGGGAGCGTGTGAGTTGATGGGAGCGTGTGGCTGTTCTTGTTCACACCCTGCGCTGGTGATATGTTGTAACTCCTCTGCAGCGACGCATGATGGATAATGTTCTGGATCCTTCATGACATCTGGTTTGGGCTCAGACTCAGGAGGCAGGCCATATGTGGCCTGACAAGAATAAGACGACACCTCCATTTTGATTTGCCCTCCTTCCTTGTCTTCCTCTCTTATTCCTTGCAGTCTTTCCCTTTGTAGCAATGGAGGGCTAGGGATACGAGGAGTTAGCGTCTGTAGCTTCTGTGTTTCCCGGGCTTCCTCTCTGGAGGGAGCAGGGCTGCAGCTTCGATGAAGAGCACCCAGAGGATCGGGCCTCGTGTCGAGCGGAGGTTGCTCCACGCCTGGTTCCTGCTTCAGGAAAGATCTGGTGTGTTTTGGGGGCTTAATGTCTGTGTCCTGCAGCCTCGGATGGAGGTGGGCTGAGGGCAAAGGGGCAGCAGAGGAAGGAGATCGGGAGCGGTGAGGTGGGACGACTTCTGTGTTTGCCCCTGAGGGTGCTGGGATGTGATATGGGGGGAAAGGTGAGCCAAATGGGGCGGTGATGGACTGGTAAGGGTAACCTGGAGGGAGATCTGTAACAGTAAAGCAGAAATACAGAAATTAGAATTACCAATTTTATGCACAGGTCTCTCGAGAGGTATTGTGGCTTAAAAGTTTCGAGAGCAGCCACCTCCAACATACAGGGTGTGATTTCAACACACAAATAATCCAGAACCATAATCCATTTTGTCAAGATGAATCCATTTATTTATGCATTGCAGCATACACCTCTTCTTCTCAGTGTGTCTGCTGTGTGTGGTGGAACTGGTTTACCTTCCCCCGTCTAAATCCAACCCCTTCCCCATAAACAGACATACTATAGTAAATAAAGGGGTGTCAACAAATATATTTGGGGGCGTAAACAACTAAGGTGAGTAGGTAAATATTCAACAAATAATATCTGTAGGCCATGCATACTAATAAAACAAGACATGTTAAACAATAAAAACAAAACGTATATAATAAACTCAGTTAAATGGCTCCTACAGGTATGTTCAGTTGTTAGCTTCCTCCACACTCACCAGAGTAGACGCCTTGAAAGGAAGCAGAGGCCGGCTTCAGTCCCTCTCTCTGAACCCTCCGTCCAACCTCCCCCTCCTCCAGTTTAGGCCGCCGCGGGGAGGACGGGGGAGGAGAGGCTGATTGTGGGGAAGGCGGGTGAGGGAGGGGCGTAGGCGGATGGGACAAAACTCTATGCCCGCCTTCCTCTGACTTCAGGGCAGTCACTGGCGAGGGGAGTGGAGGCAGCGGAGTGAGAGAGGAGGTGGACGGGGTGGGCGAGCGAGAGTGAGGAGGAAGTTTGCGGGGATGCAGGATGGGTGAGGGAGACGGGGAAGATATGGAGGAACGCCGGGGTTTGGGGTCGGAGTGACGTTTGTCTGCTTTGTCTTCCATCTCCGGCCGGTGCTCGCTAGCCTTAAATCGCTCCTGAAACACAGGGGATGTCACAACCTTATTCATATCAGTGTTGGTTTACATTGCTTACACTTCCCGGAGTGTGTGTTGTTTTGCAGCTGCAGTTCATGAGTGCTCTTATTGAATGTCAAATGATACTTTATAAGTAAATAAAAGTAGCTCCAGCTTTAAGAGCATCAAAAACAATCATGTAATTTAACATACCTGATTCTAAAATGGGACATAAGTACTTGAAGTATATTTGAATGCCAATACTTTTGTTAGATTATAAATGCAGGACTTGTAACCAAGTATTTTTACACTGTAGTATTTCTGCTTTCACTACTTCTTGCACCACTGCATAAATATGTGTGAATTGAACATCTCTGAGAAATAACAGAATTTGTACTTTCAAATTTAAAATATATATGTGACTTCAGTGGGTTTTTTGGCTTAATGCCAAACAAAGTAGGGACGTAGAGTATTGAGATTTGTGGGGGGATTGTTGTTTTTGATCTTTGTTGACTTTATGTAATTCTTCACCAAGTCATAACATCTGGGTTTATGTGTATATTCAATATTTTCTGCCTCACTTGTAGCTCACTGTTCCTCTACACAGCCAGGATATGTGCATTTTTATTATTTATGTGATGTGTGTAGGAAGGATATATATGCACATAAAAGTCTCATACAGCTGCAGGACTGCTGTGTTTTATGTTTGTGTTGAATATGGAGATGGATGTCTACATGGACAGGTGGGTAAATGTATGGAGTTGTTTGAATAATGTATGGTTGTTGTTGATACCATTTAACGACACAAAGTCTACTTACAACTAGCTGTGCGTTCCTCTGCAGCTCCAGGACCTGCGCTGTGTGCTGCTGGATCATCAGCAGCTCCTGTTGCCGGAGCATCTGCTGCTGAGAGAGCAGCTGGAGCTGGGCAGCGTGTTGCAGGGAGCTGCTCGTACCGTAAACACCCGGCCACACCGGGCCTCCACGGTCCATAACATCACCTCCTGCACAGCCATGGAGAGGGAAAAGTTAAAGTAGCCTTCTTTGTCATTACCTCTTTCATATTAAGGATGAAGAAATGATGGTGGTTGTCTTCCACAACCTTATAGAAGAAGGACAAACATCCATTTTCTATTGCCCAACATCTTTTGTGAGATGTTCCCCTGTCACATGAACTACACCAACAGCACTGATGTTTAAACTATTTATTCATTACTTTCAGCTAACCATTTCAACGGTTTACTTTACCGATTACCAACAGTTTCAACTGTTGAGCTAACTGTTTAAACTATTTATGTTTAGCCAACTGTTTCAACTGTTTACTTGAAGCCAACTATTTTAACTGTTAACTATTTAGCTAACTGTTTCAACTGTCAACTTTTAGCTAACTGTTTGTCAACTAACTGTTTCAACTGTTACTTTTAACTAACTGTTTGTCAACTAACTGTTTCAACTGTTACTTTTAGCTAGCTGTTTCAACTGTCAACTTTTAGCTAGCTGTTTCAACTGTTACTTTTAGCTAGCTGTTTCAACTGTTACTTTTAGCTAACTGTTTCAACTGTTACTTTTAGCTAACTGTTTCAACTGTTACTTTTAGCTAGCTGTTTCAACTGTCAACTTTTAGCTAACTGTTTCAACTGTTACTTTTAACTAACTGTTTGTCAACTAACTGTTTCAACTGTTACTTTTAGCTAACTGTTTCAACTGTTACTTTTAGCTAACTGTTTCAACTGTTACTTTTAGCTAACTGTTTCAACTGTTACTTTTAGCTAGCTGTTTCAACTGTCAACTTTTAGCTAGCTGTTTCAACTGTTACTTTTAGCTAGCTGTTTCAACTGTCAACTTTTAGCTAGCTGTTTCAACTGTTACTTTTAGCTAGCTGTTTCAACTGTTACTTTAGCTAACAGTTTCAACTGTTACTTTTAGCCAACAGTTTCAACTGTTTATTTTTAGCTAACTGTTTAAACTGTTTACTTTTAGCTAACTATTTTAACTGTTTACTTCTAGCTAACTATTTTAACTGTTTATTTTTAGCTAACTGTTTCAACTGTTTATTTTTAGCTGACTGTTCAGCTAACTGTTTCAACGGTTTGCTTTCAGCTAATCTTTTCTAACCTTTAACTTTAAACTAACTTTATCCACTATACTTTTAGCTTATTATTCCAACTGTTTGCTTTTAGCTATCCTTTTGCAATGTATACTTTTAGCCAACTTTCTCAAATAATAACATTTAGCTAATTATTTTAACGATTCACTTTTAGCAACTTATTCTACTGTTTACCAACTGTTTAAACTATTTATCCATTACTATAAGTTATTTATTGTTCTTGCTTGTCAACTAGTTTTCAACCCACTCTTAATTACACATTGATTAATGTTACAGCTGACTCAATATGTGGATATATTTCATTTTCTTTTCAAATTAGTGGAGCTAATCAACATCTTTTGAGCAGCAGAAGAAAAAGTAGACCTGTTGGGGTTCACTGCTCCCTTTTGATACTGAAATAATTTTAGTTTTCTCTTTATAGAATATAATACTTGTGTCTAAATTGCATCACAGACTTCCTAATTTTGCTGTAAAGCAGCAAAGAGCAAAACCTTTGGCACACTATCCAGACAAAAAACATATGCAGGCTGTCAAACTTGTTGGAAATGGTCTCACTTTTTTACATTAATTACCAACACTGACATCTGTCACAAAATGAAAATGATAAGCTTTTATTTATGCTACAACACAGTAAATAGTTATTCTAAAAGTGATCAAATCGGCACACCAACTTTATGTCCCCATACTTTAGATTTCATATGCACATAAAGATAATGGCTTTCATACCGTAGTGTTGCAGGTGTTCAGTGGGGATGACGATTAACTGTCCAGATTGAGGGTCCCGGGCTAACTGGTATGGAGGAGGCATTGAACCCTGCAAAGAGGGGGGGTAACCTTGGGGGAGAGCCTGGTGGAGAGAGGATGGACCAAGGCCTGAACGAGAAGAAAACGTTTGAAAAGTAGATTTAAAAAAAGAGAAAACATTTTCCCAGCTAATCTAAAACTAACACTGACTCAGCGCCATTCCTCACCCAGTATTTATACCCCAGTCATAACAGCACCGAGCACACAAACACTGAATTAAGCTGCTTTTTGAGTGATATTGTTTGTTTGCCCTTTGTGTCTAGACAGAACTTACCCTTAGGGAGCAAAATATGTTTGTTTCCATATTACTCAGATGTTATGTGTACAGTAAAACTATGTAAGTGTGTGTGTTTGTGTCTCAATGCTGTTATTTCTGGACAGCCAGCGTTGGCGGAGCAGGAATGTCCTGCAAAGATCAGGAATGTCTGAGGAACTTGACCCCTGGAGGCTGTTACTGGACGGACAGACAACATCTCCTTTTTCTGCTGCACCAATCACTAAAGGCTACAGAGGCGCATGTAGAATTTTGCAAGCACGCCACGTTCTTGTGTTGACCCGATTTAAAGCACAAGGTAGGATAACTCTGCTGACAAGAGAGTAAGAGGTAGATTCTTACTGAAAAGGGCAAAGGAGTTTCTGGTGCTTCTTTACTAATGCTTTATGTGGCGTCTGTACTTGTCCACATCTGTCGGTCCAACTCAGTGAACACATGAAGTGGCGGCTTCATGAAGACACAGAAGGTCATTCATCTTGTTTTTTCCAACAAAATAGTTAAACACCAGCCGATATTAAAATGACTAACACATAAAATAATGACTTTCTCAACTGAGAGGTTAGATAGAACATGGTAATGTTGGACAAATAAAATTACTGAAAAATGTATTAAAAAACTATGTTGAGTTATCCAGGTCTGCTTTCTGTCCACAGCGTTTATTCACTTTGCTCCAAATATCTTAAACAAATTCTGATGCAACACATACGTATTTTGGCTGCTGCCTTTTATTAAATCAAATAACTATTCATATATTACACTGCACTCTATTATTCTTGTATTTTACTCCCGTGTTATTCTTTTTCAGCTTGTTTTATTTGTCTTATATTGGTCTTAATAATAATAATAATAACTTCCTAAATATATAAACAAGTTATTCTTTCATTTAAAAAAAATTATTATTATTGTTTCATATCCTTTACTTTATCTGATTATATCTACTCCCGTTTCATTTCAATCTGAGGTTTCCCTGAATGTTCGATATTGAGGGTGGGGGGAGGGGAGTGTTATTTTCCCATGTGTTAATGTATGTATGTGTGACTGTTCTTTCTATGTTAAAAACCCAATAAATATAATGTTAAAAAAAATAAACAATGTCACAAGGAACATTAAGTCCAATTTTGGGAACATTTAGAAGCATGTACTGGTTAGCAAGTGTCTCTGGTGTTCATCCACTTACTGTACGGGGAGCTGGAGAGCCAGACTGGGGGGGCTCCGGGTCGGGGCATCCAGGGGTGAGAGGTGAGGGTCTGCGTGTCGGGGGGCCATCGTCCCGCCCCGGCCAGAGCGGCCCCTCCCGTCACCATGAGGTTAGAGGTCATGAGGCTGGGTGCCATCATGCTGGGCGTCATGCCGCTTGACAGAGGAGGGGGATGCATCTGAGTGAACTCTGCCAGCTCCTTGGACTCTCTGGAAGATAGTTTTATTTATTAATGTGTGTTTAGAACAAATAGATCTATTTTTGACAAGGTTAAAGGATTCTTACGCACAAACTCAGAGAATAATCATTTGTTTATCTATTTTCACCCCTTTTTATGAAGAATGCTTTGTTTTTCACACAAGAAAGTTCTCAATGAATTTAAGTAAATGGGGGCCGTGTTTAAGAAAGCAATACTTTGTAAAAAAAACTCTAACATAACTTCTGCAGTATAATCCAAGTCTCACTTGTACAAATTATAATTTTGATGCAGAAGCAAGTGTGTGACATTCAAGTGTGTGACATTCATTTGACCCTTTTACAATCGACAAACATTTAAGTTAGCATGAAGTCGCTCACCTGAGCACTTTGTCCTGCTCGCGCTCCAGTCGGCCAACCAGCATCCGATCGTCATGGTGACGCCCGCGGTCCTCGCCCCGCTCCTCATCTGTAACGAGTTCACAGAGAGAGATGTGTGTTAGCTTAGTGTGTTCAAACCCTGATTTCAAAATGTGAAATATATGCAGTCCTGGTGGAAAAAAGTGAGTTAGTTCCTAATAAGTTGTATGAAGAAAATTTGGAAAAGGAATTAAACTTACAATTATTTCGTTTTTGACCTTTTAAACGATGACGGTCATTTAATCATAAGCACCAGAGCATTACCATTGTCTTCATTCATTATGTTGCTATTTTAGAAGAGGTGATTTTGTGAAATGTAATTTTTAGGTTCCTCATTTTAAAAGGTTTATAAATGTTCTATCAAATTGAGAATTTAATTGTACATTGCCTAAACATTCAGTAAACAGTCATAGAAATGACCTGTATGGGTCAGTTATTTCAAACAGAGAGTAAACTGGTATAGATACGATGTTAAGTTTGCTAGTTTCTTTATTTAGTGGCAGGGTATCATTATTCACCTTAAACAGGTAAACCCTTGTGATAGCTGCTTTGAATGAACCTTAACACCCAATCATTCCAGTGTAAAGTAAGTTATTTATGTAGCTTATATCTACTTAAGCATAATAAAGAGCGCTTGGGTGCAACATATATTTATAAAATCGGATACAAGCTGTAAAAGAAGATACAGTGCATGACATGGAAGCAAGAGGAAGCAATAATGTGGAGAGAGTGAAAGAGGAGAGTATGACAGCAGAGGGGAGGACAAGGTGACTCTGGCTCTATAACGGTGACACCACACAGCATGTCAAAACGGGAGGAGAAACTAAAAATACGATGTTGGGCCACAGCCTGAACACAACGCGCGTGTGCACACATACTGAACACACACACACATACTGTAGTGTACAAGCACACACACAGTGACAGCTCTCCCTCTGGGTGTCAGCTCTTTTCAGTTATTAGTCTGGTGCCACAAGAGAGAGAGATCACATACATAAGAAATGACACACACACACACACACACACACACACACACACACACACACACACACACACACACACACACACACACACAGTCTCAAGAGTGATCCATTGCTTAGCAACGCACCCATGGTCTTATTGTAATTCAAGGCTTGTTTGTAGCTTTTAGCAGCACTCTGTAATGACATGTTTAATGCAGAGAGCTGAAGAAAAGAGTGGAGAAAGAGCAAGGGGGCCTGAGGTGGGACAAGAGGGAAGGAGAGAGACATTCAAGCAAATGAAAAGAGGGGGAAACAGGAGAAAGATGGAGAGGGAGAACTGTATCTGAATGACCTTGACGTACGAGAACAGAGGCATTGCTGCAGCACAGAGCCCAAAAGGAGCTTTCAATTAAACACAACCCCTGACATAATTAGTAATTCGGGCAAGGGGGTTGAGGAAACATGACTTTGATCCAAAAAGAAAATGAAACCTCAATTATTCATGCAGCAAAATGAGGAATCATTTGCTCTGGTTCGTTTGGCCGAGGGGATCTACGCTCCCTGCAGAGCCGTTTCTGAGAGGAGGAGGAAATACATCAGGATGAGGTTTCAAATGACTTGAGTACACTTGGTTTAACTTGCCAGAAACCATTGGATGGGAAATGACTTGTGCGAGTGTGATGGTCACCACACGACTGCGGCGAGCATCTCAAACGTGTATCCAATGAAGATGCACGTAGCATTGAACACAACGTTTTTTCTGTTTAACTTTGTTTAGCAGTTGAATGATCATTTTCAATATAGATTATTTTGCAGAATATGTTCGATTTGGTCTACAAAGAAATGTACATTCAAATACCTAAAAGGTCCAAGGTGATGTTAGTTCAGTCTCAAACCCAAATGTTTGAGACTGAATTAGAAATTCACAATTTCTTGAGCTTTGACAATTTTAAGTCTTTTAAAAGTATGTGCTTTATTTATAAATGTTTACATGGACTGGCCCCGCCCCCTTCCCCCCTTAGGGGAATTCATCCACAAAAAACTCACTGGACGCTGCACTAGGTCAGAAACCAGAGGAGACTGTGAGGTCCACCGTAGACGGACCACTATTGGACAAAATGTCCTCTCCATTAAAGGCAGCTCTTTGTGGAATAGCCTCCCAACTGAGATACGGGATTGTCCCACTCTCAATAGCTTCAAAGGTCAACTTAAAGAATGGTTGAGAAACAAACAGACGTGCAATCACCGCTAAATGCACTTTAACACAGGGGTATCTCCTCTTGTATCTCCTCTTGCACTTTATATGTCGTTGCTGCTATATTGTATTACCATGTCATAAATACTTGTGTATGCTGCTCTTGCTCTCTTGCACCTTTTGCATATCATGTATTTTGCAATGTTTGTAAAAATGTAAACTTCTTAAATGTGTTATGTGAGGGACTGCGGATGGAAATTAGCTCAAAGCTAATTCTGGCACTGTTAGGCTTGACACATGTTAATGTTTTAAGTGTTCATTACTGTGCTTTGTGCCTGCCAAATAAACGATTAAATAAAAATAAATGTATCAACTTTAACATAAAGCAGATCAAAAGCTGGTAATTTCATATATATAGCCAAGGCAAGTTTATTTATATAGCACCTTTCAGCACGCGACAATTCAATGTGCTTTACAAAATAAAATAAGAGGCTAAGGAAAGAATTATCTGTCATTTCTGCATAAGTTACTTTTTTGCAATTGACCAATTATCCAAATAGTTGCTCTAATCACTGCAGCTGTCTGAGTGGTATCTCAAAGAAACCCAAATATGTTCACTTTAATATTATAAAAAGCCGGTAAAAAGCTGGTCATCTCGTGTGTATCAGGCTAAGAAGAGTGTTGTGTAATTCAAGCATGAAAAATACGTATTGATGATTAAGTAAGTTAAAGATTGTTTGCTGCTGATCTGATCGTGTACAGTATTTGATTGGTGCAGAGACTTTTCAAAGACATTACCTTTGATAGCGTTTTGCAGCATTGCTCTCTGGGAGTCCGAGTTTCCTCCGCTCTGTTTGCTGGAGCTGCTGCTGTCTCTCTGCCGGGCGACGGCCACCGCGATGCCCACAGGGGGGTGGCGTACCTCCCCCTCCGCCTCCCGCCCAAACGAGCGGGCGCTGTCCGGCCTCTCCTGCTCCCTCTTCAGGGGGGGCGGCACCCTCATGGATCCCACAGAAACCCTCTCTCTATCTCTGTCTCTGTCTTTCTCCCTCTCTCCCTCTCTGTCACCGTCTGAGACCACGTGAGCCAGACCCCCAAAGGGCCCTCGTCCCTCCCCTGTCTGCCTGGAGGCCCCGGGCCCCTCAGCAGCAAAGTTCCCGCTGTATTTAATCAGACTCTGCATGGCTGAGACCTCAGAGGGGTCCGGCCCCGCCACCCCGCCTCGCTCACCCGCCAACGACACCCCAGGTCTGTAGAGCGTCGCGGGGTCCAGGTAGCGTCTCTGACCCCCCTCCTCCCCCGGCCGCTGGGAGGGGTGAGTTTGAGGGGGGTGAGTTTGAGAGGCGTGAGTTTGGGGGGAGTGCGGGGTACTTCCTGCCCGGTGGGTCGTTGACATCTGTGTGTGTGCGGGGGAGGGGAGTGTGTGTCCGTGTTGAGCCGCCAGCGCAGCCATGTGACTCGTAGCATAATTAGTTAGCGGGCTAATCGTGTTCCATTTAGGCTCCGCCCCCGCCCGCTCTGTGCCCAATCTGATTGGCTGTTTGGAGACATCCGGGCTGAACCGTGACTGGCCGGAAGGGTACGACCCTTCCTGGCTTCGTTTTCCAATCGATCCATTGGAACAAATTACCGACCCCTCCTCTCTTTGATTGCCTGAATCGCCAGATTGGGAGAGTCGAGGGTGATCCGGCAGGCTCCTCTCTGGAAACCTGTAGCTCAACCTGTAGCTCTCCCTCTCTTTCTCCCTTTCTCTCTCCCTTTCTCTCTCTCGCTCTCTTTCTCTCTCCCTCTCCCTCTGTTTGTTGTCCCGGGCCTGAGAGGCGATCTGGATCGGGCCGACACGCTCGTCGTAAACCTCCACAGAAGGCACATATGTCGGCGCACTCACCCGTTGAGTCTCTCTATGTGTGGAGGGGTGGGGCTGGGCAGAGGGGTGAGACGCGGGGGGAGGAGGGTGATGGTGGCCGTGGTCGTTTCTCCTTTGTCGGTCCGGGTTATTGGATTCTTCCCGAACCCCACTTTGAGGGAAGGTGTGAAGAGGGGGTGAGGGTCTGGATCGGGGCTCTGTGGAGTGAGTTTTCTGCTGGTGGGGGTGAGGGTGATGATGGAAGGGCCACGAGTCTCTCTCCGTATCCCTCTCTTTCTCCCTCTCTTTCTCCCTCTCTTTCTCCCGCTCCTCGCTCCTCCCGTCCTGCGTCAGGTCCACCACACTGTGAGGCCTCTGATCCTCTCTGGACCGTTCCCGTTCCCGCTCCCGTTCCCTCTCCCCACGGTAAGGCCGGTCCCTCCCCCCTTCCCGGGACGTCCTCTGCGGGGGGGTGGAGCTGGGCGGGGCGCTGGGAGGAGCCGACGGAGGGTGGAGAGGCAACTGGCTCAACGAAGCTGGCAGGTAAAACCCTTCTGAAAACACACGGATAAGAAAATGAGTCTAAAACGATATATATCCAGAGGAGGGAAGAAGTGGAGTAAAAATACTTCGTTACTGTACTTAAGTACATTTTTCTGGTATCAGCACTTTACAGGACTGTCTCAGAAAATTAGAATATTGTGATAAAGTTCTTT